CCGTACAAGACGGGGAGGCCGTGCTCCGCCTGCCCCCCCAGTTACAAAGGCAGCTGCAGTAGCAACATGTGCTTCCCTGGCCTCAAATCCAACAGGCTCCCGTGGTTCTGAATTTTCCCTGGACTCTGGCGGGCCTCCAGCTGGGCCTGAACCTCCAAGAGTCACTCCCCAAAGATGTGGTCAAGGAATTACTGTTTCAAAAGGACATGAGTTAGACTCACCCATTAATCTGAATTTTCCCTTCTGGATTCCATCTCCTAAACGTCCAGGAATGTGTCAGAAGAAAGAGACCTCCTTGTTCCCCTTCTTTCCTCATTTTCATTTACCTGTTCTCTGGCCTCCAGGAAAGAGACCTGCATTTTAATTGACTCAGTGCTCAGAGAGCGGGGCTTGGGTAGATCAATGGTGGCTGCTTTGTTCTGTGATTTAAAAATTATTGAAACTAGGGGACCCCTGCCCCCAACTGTGTGTCACTGGGGCCACCACAGAGTGCAAACAACAACGACAAGCACAGTTGCCATCGAGTTGATTCTGGCTCATGGCAGCTGCATGAGTCAGAGTTGAACAGCCCCAAAGGGATTGGATAGCTGTCGTCTTTCAGAAATGGGGCACCAGGGCTTTCTTGCAAGGCCTCTGGGTGGGTGTGAAGTACCAACCTTTTGGTCAGTAGCCAAACACTTAACTGTTTGCACCGCCCAGGAACTCTTCCACAGGGTCCAGGCCACCAAGATTCAGCAAGGCACGAGACTTACTCAGAGCTACACAGCGTGTTTGTGATGGCACCAACTGGGAGCTAGGGCTGGAGATGTCCTTTTTGCTTCCTGACCCCTCTCTGAGCCTCAGGACTGAGAAGCCAAAAGCAAAGATGGCCTGAGGCACGCTCTTCCAGGGTCTTACTCTCTTTCTACGCCACTCTGCCTCTGCACCTTATTCTGCCTGCTTCTCTGCTCTATCCCTCTTTATTTTTCTCTTAGGCTATCGCTGTCTTGAATTCACTTTCTCGCTCCTCAGTTTTTCCTATAGAATGTCATTTTCTTGCCTATAAAGCATTTCCCCTCTCTCCACCTGGCTCTACCCCACCCAGAGATCATTCCACACAATAGTCCTTTTGTCTCCAAAGATAGTAAAGTCTCCTCCCTCGGACCTTGCCCTTCAGCGGCCCCTCCCCTCTCCCTGCCCTGCTAGAGATAGTTCCGGAGACCTGGATGGCAAACAGGCCTCTGTCCTCAGTCCCTGCATCAACCTGGATGGAGTGAGTTTTCTCCCCTCTTGTCATTCCCACCCAGACCATGGCCTGTGCATGTCATCTCGGCCACAATAAAGTTCTTCGAGAGATCAGATGCAGTTGTTCTTTCTGGTCTGCCCCCTTCTCAGCTCTCAGGACGGTCAAGAGAGGGGAAAAGGGAAATAGGTGGGGGCAGATGGAAAGAGGGGAACACCAGTTCAAGAGGAAGACCAAGGGAGGGGACTGGCAGCTCTTCATCCACTATGTGCTAGACACAGTGGATAGATGGGTGTCTGTGTGCATGTGGGGGTTATCGCTCCATTTCACAGATGATAAGAATGAGTCTGGGAGTTCTGGTAGCATAGTGCCTAAGGCACTTGAAGGCTAACCAGAAGGCTTGCGGTTCAAACCTACCAGTCACTCCTCAGAAGGAAGATGGGGCAATCTACTTCCATAGAGATTCTGCCTCGGAAACCTAAGGAGGGGTCGCTATGAGTCAGGTCCAACTCGATGGACATAACAACAACAACAACAACAACAGCAGCAGCAACAATGAGTCTTAGGGAGGCAGAACGTCAACTGGAAATGAGAAAAAGGAAGGCCCTGACACTTCTTATTTTTTTGAGGAGAGGATGTGGTTATTAAAATGTCCTTTCTTTTATAAAACAATAGTGATAGTGTTAGCGTTTTTTGAAATTATTGTCCTTATCTTGGGAGAGGAGGGAGTTAACAACCCTGTGTCAATTTCCCAAAATGTTCTGGAAATCTAGGTGGCACATGACCCACTGGATTAAGTGACATGCATAAAGTCCCAGTGCTAGCAAAGAGTCAGTGCTGGTAAGGTGTGATTCAGGTTCCTCCGACTCCAAAACCTGTGCTCTTTTTACTGCCCCAGGCTGCCTTCCTGAGCCCCAGGTATTAAGAAAATAACAACCATTGGCCCAACACCCAGCATCCTTAATCTCATTGAATTGTCACAGCCATTCTAAATGAAGTGGGAGCTCTGGTGGCCTAGTACCTAAGGCACTTGACTGCTAACCAGAAGGCTGGCAGTTCAAACCCACCAGCCACTCCTCGGAAGGAAGATTGGGCAATCTACTTCCATAGTGACACCGCCTCGGGAACCCAAGGAGGGGTCGCTATGAATCAGAATTGAGTCATCAGCAGCGAGTTTGGTTTGGTTTTGGTTTATCCTGAGTGAGAGGTACTATTCCCATCCCTGTTTTACAGGTGTAAAAGCCGAGCCTCATAAAGATTTAGTGAATCGTCCAAGGTCAAGTAGGTGGAGGAAGCTGGATTTGAATCTGCTCTGTGTGACTCAAGAGCCCAATAGCTTAATCCCTTTACCTACCTGCCTCACAGCTCATAAGGGAGAAACTCGGGAATTGGCAAATGTGCCATAGTCAAGTGGAGATCACAGATAACCTTCTGTGTTCCTTATTTCTAATAAAGTAAATGAAACAAAAACAAGCCCATTGCCCTGCCTCCAACAATGCAGACCTGGGGAGTGAAGACTTGGGGAAGGAAATGTCCTGACTTGAGCTGTAACTTGTCTCAGCTGAAGGGAAGCTGCAAGAAGTTTGTTTTTCTATGTAACAATAGTAATGAACTTCTGTGTGTTTCATTCTTTTCTAAGACTTTTATGTCCCAGCCCCATGTGCCCACTCATTCATTCAACAATCGAGAAGATTAAGAGTCAGACTGTTTAGGTACAATTTTTACTAAGTGACTGTGTGTCCTGGGTTCCTGTGAGCTATCCGTGCCTCACTCTCTTCACCTGTAAATGGGGGTATACGAGCAACTATTCCATGAACTTGTTGAAAAGATTAAATGAATGAATCCATAAAAAGCGTTTCAAACATTGCCTGGCCATCTTTTTTTTGTAAATCAAGTTTTATTGGAACATAGGCATGCTCATTCATTGACCTGTTGTCTGTGGTTGCTTTCACACCACAACGGGGAAGCTGAAGGGCTGCAACAGAGAATGGATGGCTCCCAAAGTCTAAAATATTTGCTATCTGCCCCTTTATGGGAAAAGTTTGCCAATCCCTGAGATATGTAATGTTCCTGTATTCTTGGAACTTATAATTCTAGTGCGGTAGTCAGGCATTAAATAGAAAATGAATCCCCAAACTTTATTAGAATGGAATTAAGTGTCAACTGGCAGAAGAACAGGGAATTACATGAGTAGTAAGAAGGTTTTCCTGCAAAGATGTTTTTTGATGAGGTAGAGAAATTGGTCCAGTCCTGTTGTGAATTGAATTGTGTCCCTGTGTTAGACTGGGTTCTCTAGAGAAACAAAACCAGTAAAGCTTATAGAGAGAGAGAAAGAGAAATTTATCTTAGGAAAATGGC